TATCCATTTCCCATTTAGGCTTTTAAATTTTGCTTTTACTCTCATGAATAGAATTGCTAGATATATCTTTGCATAAGCAGCTTTTATGCTCTTTTAAATATTTTTCTGGGCATATACTACTCAAAATGAGTTAGTATATCAAAAGATAGATCAATTATAGATCTTATTTTATTTCTAGGTGGTTCTTTAAAATGACAAATAATATATAATTTGCTAGCATACCTCTGGTATGAGGACATATGTGACTTTAATGTTTGTGAACATAACAGTTTTAATTTGCATTTTTAATACTAGGAAATCTAAGTATCATTGTTCAGAACTTTTATGTTATCATTTCACTTGCACTCTACCCTTTTATAAATTTGCCTGGTAAAGAAATGAAAATTTTGTGGATTTAAATTGATTATAAAAAATCTATTAAGCACTTTATTAATATACAGGTAGCTCTTTTTATTCCACTTATTTTTCTTTTTCCTGTTAGGATACATGTTTATTTTGGTATTAGTGGATCTCATCTACCTTGTCTATAGTATTTTTCAACTACTCTGAAGCATTCTTTGTACACTATTGGGATTAGAATTCTAGTCTTTTTTATTAAAAAAAACCTTTTAACATTTTAACTAATTTGGAAGAAATTGTGTTTTCCTATGTAAAGTGTATCTAATTTCTTTTCTCATACTGATATCTGGCTAATCTTTCCATCAGCTGTTATTAAATAATCATTTATTTTTTAGTAGTTCATCACTAATCTTAAACTATCTATTCAGCACATAGAAATTTTAGAAACATTGCTTAACAGGATTGGAAGGACAATGCTCCTATTGTTTTGTTCCTGATTTTAAAAAGACATATCTATGTTTGCTTGCTTATTTTCCTAAATACAATTTGTCACAATTTTGTCAAATTATGTTAAGTATCCAGTTGGCATGTTAAACAGAATTGTAGTAAATCTATAGACTTATGACTTTTGGCATTCCTTTCAAAGTGATTTCACATTATTTAACTTAATTCTCACAATAATTCTGTAAAGAATCATTTCTACCTCATAGATGGGGAAATGGAAGCTCAGTGATTTTGCCAAAATTATACAACTGGTAAGTAGTGAAGGGAGGACCAGAATTCTACTTTGCTGAGTCCTCATTTAGTGCTTTTCTATTACACCAGGATGTCTCTCACAGGAATATGGCCATCTTTCAAATTTATTTCCTCTAGCCTGTAGCACTGTGCTTCTATTTAAACATCATTCATAGTTTATCCCAGCATGGTTGTACAGCTTTTTTTTTTTTTTTTTTTTTTAAAAAAAACATTGCCATCTAGTCAATTCTGACTCATAGTGACCCCTCCTTGGGTTTCTGAAGCGGTATCTCTATGGAAGTAGATTGCCCAGTCTTCCTTCCAAGGAGTGGCTGGTGGATTTGAACTGCCAACTTGTTGGTAAGCAGTCAAATGCCTTAAGCACTACACCACCAGAGCTTATGTGCCTCCTATATATTAATATCTAAACACTTTTAAAATTGTAGCTTGTCATTGCTGAAATCTAGAAATAAAACTAATTTTAAGAAATTTTATATCCTGCCAACTTCTTGAATTCATCTTGTATTAGTAGTCCATTTATGATACTATAGGTTTTGCTAGTTAAATTTACGTTAATATAAAATAGTATGTCACTTCTTTCCATACCTCTCATTTTTGGTAATGTTTTATTTCAACCATATATAAATAAAAATCGTGCCCAGATTGTTTCATTTTTGTTTGAGAAGTGGTTCTTACATGTTTTCCAATAGGAATGTTATTATTGCCTTTAAGTATTTACTTATTACAGTATGGGAAAAGCCTACGAAATCATTACTAGAGGTAATTAAGTTAGAGATGAATGTTATTGGCATTTTAAAAATTTTATTAATATTTTGGATGGTGACCATTTGTTCTGTTGATGTTGACTTAATTGTTGTTCTGTTGAACACCAGCCTTGTAATTCTGACTTACAGTAAATAATTATGTTTATTTGGTGCTGTATGGTTGCCAATATTTTGCATTTTGTATATCTTCAAAATGAGAGCCTTTAAAAAATCTGCTTTGCCTCAAAATGCAATTACTAACATATATCCTTCATTTCCAGATATTTATTCTTTGAACATTTGAAGAAGTTTACCAATTAAGTGCATTGGGCTCAAATTCCAACTTGACAGAAAACTATACTAGGTTATACTATTCCCAGATTTTTAAATGCTTCTTACTGGTTGTAACTTTTCTCATTCCTAATCTGTCCTTTTGTATTCATTTAAACAAGAAAGTAACATATTCAGCTTGCCAGTTTTTTAAACTTATTTCAGACTAACACTTTTTCTTATATCCATTATCTTTAGCTCTACCATCTTTAGCAACTTCTCATTGTTCCTTTCTTTATTTTTTACAAATAATCTGTAGTACTAAAAAACTTTTCAAGATGTGTGCACCACCTTTACCCTCCATTTTATGTATCATCTTAAAATTGTTTTCATTTTAATTACTAGTTTTTAAGTCCACTTCAGGCATTTCCATTGTTCTCATAAATTTAAGCCTTGGGACCCACCCAATAATACCACTTTGCTATATTCAAAGAATACATAAATATGAATTCCAATTTATGAGTTTGTTTTCAGTAAGCTATAAATTACTTAAATCTTTGTTTCATTTTCCTCAGATATAGAAGAGCAACAAAAGACTTATCAGAATATATTTTAGCCTAGTAACATTTGTTTTTATAACAAAATTTTCAGATTAAAAGATACATTATTAAAGAGCATTACTTTGTAAAAACTTAGCCAAATTCTGCTTCAATGAGATCCTTGCTCTAACGTGTATATATATGCCTAAAATTAATCTTAGTCTTCACACATCTCTAATTAATAATGAGTTAAGAGACCAGTGTGGGATCCCCAATGTCTGCATACTTTTCTTCCCCAGCAAAACTAGACTCTGATTTTCATCAGCCTGTTTCTTCTCTTATTGTACCTTTAGTCTTTGAACGGTGAAAATTAGTGGAAAGATCAAGGTTTTGAATCACGAAAGGCTAGAATTCGATATTGGCTCCTGCATATATGACAGATGCTAAGCAAATAATTAATAATTTTCTATTATCTCTTTAAAAATGTATGCAATAGTATATACCTCACAGGATGCTTGAGAAGCTGTAATAAGAAAGCATAATATTAAGTGTTTAAGCCAAACCAAACCCACTGCTGTGGAGTCGGACCCGACTCATAGCAATCCCTCCTTGGGTTTCCGAGGGGGTATCACTATGGAAGTAGATTGCCCAACCTTCCTTCCAAGGAGTAGCTGGTGAGTTTGAACCACCAGGCTTCTGGTTAGCCGTCAAATGCCTTAGGCACTTCGAGAGAACAACTATCATTATAGGCTGGCTTCCTATAACATTTTCAAGCTCTGCCTGGGAAATGAAGTCCCTGAGTGGTATAAATGGTTATCTAGGCCACTAACCAAAGATAAGATGTTCAATTCTATCCAGAGGTACTATGGAAGAAAGGCCTGGTAATTTTCTTGTGAAAAATCAGTTGCTGACAAACCCTATAGAGTAGCGTTCTACTCTGACACACATAGGGTCACCAGGAGTTGAAATCAACTCAGCAGTAACTGGTTTTGGTGCCTGAGGAATGGATACAGGACAGAGTGAAGGTTCACCTCTTCTGACAATTCCACATTGTTTCAGTACTAGAGGGCAACAAGTTTTATGATTTCTGGTGGATCTTGGGGAAAAAATTCTAACCTCTAGACATCGGCCAAGAGACAGAACTGATTATGAAGGTTATGCTACCTACTATTTGTGGGGTGGGACAAAACCCAAAGGGATATACTAAATGCTCTGTGGTACACTGCTATTAGTTTTAGTTAGCATTGCTAATTAAAGTGGTGGAGTCAAGAAGTTTGTATGTTTTATTCTCTGAGAAAGCACAATTAATCTATTTACAGATGGTCTTAATACCAGGTCAAAAATTCAATTTCTCCTTAGGAATTTCAGTATAGCAACCATGAAGCATCTTTTCTTGGAGCATTCACACACACACACACACACACACACACACACACACACCTTTTTGGCCTGAGTTACTTGTTGGAAGTTCTTTTCTTTTGCATTGGTTTCTCATACTGAACTTCATGTCAGAGCATGGCTCTACAGAAACTTTCTGGAGTATTAAACCAAAACTAATCTTATCCCCTAAATTCTCTTTGGACCAAACCTGTGAAGAACAAGCTCTTCAACTAGAAGTTAAGTTCTTCTACTCTTTTTGTAATATGGAACTGACTCAGTCGGTTATTAGGGTCAAGTAATTAGTTATACTTTAAGACGTATTTTAAACATCAGACCTTCAAAAAGAATAAAAAATCATGCAAGGCCAAGTCCTTAACAATTATAGATAAATGTATTTTATCATACTGGCATTTAAAATGGCTGCTATTTCTACCACTATGCCTACATGTCTCTATTACATATAAAAGATCCATTCAACTTACTCTGTGTACGTGTGTTTCACATTCAAATATTTCCACAGAAAGCAGATGTAGTAGGAATTATAATGGCTGTGAAAGTATTTGAAATATTCCTTAGATATTATTAATTGTTCTGTAGACAATGATAAGATGATTATACAATATTATCTTCAAGCAGAGTTCTGAATATGGAATATTCACATAAATATTATGGAATACCAAAATAAAGCTAACACTACTGAAGTTTCTGGATCATGGAGCCCATTCTGGGGAAAAAAAAATAAAAGTCCAATAAGCAATGAATCAGCTACTGATAGATTAATAAAGATATTCAATAACTGAATGTCTCAGAGAGGGTTAAAGATAACATATGCATAGCATTTATCATATAACCAGTTCTAATTATTCACATGGGAAACTCATTTAAATGAGAATATTCTGGAGCCAAGATGAAGGCCCAATGTAGAATCTCCAGCTTAGTCTTTTCCAATTTTGAAGGAGCTTCCCTGGGCTTTCTAGGGTTCTACTTCAGCCATTAATACATTTTTGGTTCCAGGAACCTCTGGTTGCTTATCATTACCATCTAAGATAATATCTTCTGGATTTGGAGGTGAGGGACAGAATTCTTCACTTGGAAAGATCTCACGGAAGAGTGTTTCAGCTTGCTTGACAGCATGCTCATTGCCCACACCACAGTCAGGCCCCGAGCAGACATAAACATTAGAAGGTAAACCATTATATGAGCTTCTGCTGATTCCTGAGGAATCTCTCATATTAAAATAAAGAGCCCACAAGAGTCTTGGCTTTGAATGTTCTTCTTTGTTTATTTCTATTTCAGCATATGGGGTGAATAATTTCTTCACCACTGATTCTAGGTCTTCTCTTGCTGTTTTAGACGATGAACATGTCAAATGTACCAGATAGGTGTCTTTCATGCATGTCATGGTTGAAGAACATAATTCAGTGACCCGAACAGCAAAAGTTCCTGGTTCTACTGGAGGGACTATCAAAACAGAAATCTGTTGATCTGAATCTGTCTTCAGTATAGATTGATCTGTAATGAGCACTGCCCTAGAAATCTGCTTATACTGCACACTTGAGCAAGTTTCCTCAGAAAGGTAACTATCCTCCACAATAAAATTTTTAGCATGTATTCTTTGGCCAAGGTGATCTATAACTGCATTACATCTTCCAGATTCCTTGTCAACTACAAGGCACTGTACCTTACGGCGAAGGCAATAGATTCCGCCAAATACTGCACACATCCTGCAGAAACACTGGGAAATTTCTCCTTGGCCATACAAGGGAAATAAGAAAGGAGTGTTGCCAAACCATCCAAGACACTGAAGGAAGTTTTTTGTTGCTTTAAGGCCATCTATTGTAGTACAAGATGACTCTGATGTCATTGCAATGGAATGTAGTACAAAATGTTGGAGGCTAGGGGTTAATTTTTTAGTTTTTAAGTAGTCTGAAAATGGGCGTTGCTTGAAAGCTTCATATTCATCTGGATGTTGTTCAAAGTCAGTACAAAACGTAAAAAATTTCATTAGCATCCTCTTTTCAACCATAGTGAGTTCTTTGCTATTGAAGACATCTGCTCTGGAACAAGGCACTTGTTCAACTTTTCCTTCCCAAAATGTGAGAATCCTAGTGACATTCTTAAATTCTGCGTATCGACTAACATTTGATTTGATTAAAAGATCAATTAACAATCCTTGGGAATACAGCAGCTTCGATACTAAATCAATATTAAATCTCCTGCCTTCTTTAAGTATTTGAGAGTAAGTAATCCTATTTCTCTTTGGTTGATCCATGTTGTCTTCTACTGGTTTTTCATCTTTATCTCCATCTGTGTGTACACGAGTTTTATCTCCACAATCATTTTCTTTCTCCAAGGTTTCCTCTATGTCATTTACTTCTAGTGAAGTCTCTCTATCACTTTTTAAAGTGTCTTTGGCAGGCATTTTGTACTTAGTAACATATACTGAGCGCTTGTCTTTGACCAAGCATGCAGAATCCAGAGGTTCAGTAAGGGTACTAGATGCCACTGTGGACAGATTTTTCTGCAAAGCACCAATCTCTTCAACATTGTCATCCAAATCCTGACTAACATAACAAAAAATTTCCATGTGTTGAATGGTTTCATCCTTTTTACGAAGAGTAATGGCTTCCTCTGTTTCGTGGATCAGGTCTGGCCACTTAACTGTACTTTCTTCCCCATCAATACAGATTTGCTGATAATCCTTCAGCCAGGATAGCAATCCTGAAAAGCTGAAGCTAGCCCAGTTTCCTCCATAGTAGCTCTTGGAGTCAACGTGCAGAACTCTCTGGCCACTTCTTGAACAAGCAGCTGCAAGGATGGATTCAGGCAAACCTGTTCCTACTATAACCACATCAAACTCTGTGGGGAGACTGTCTGCCATCCTGGAAGGTAAAGTGTTTGGTAACAACTCCCAATGGCAGAAATGTGTATGACTCTAGGATGAGGGCTCAGCTGAAGTGTGACTATGCTGAAATAAAATATCTCCTTGTGATATTCCAGTTCATTTCAGAAGCATCAAGCCTGCAGGTCCTAGGTATTCAATGATTACCTTTTTTAAATCTTTTTTTTTCTTATAGGTCAGTAGCATAAAGACGTGATAAAGTACATCTAGTCACTCTGAGAATACTATAAGTGATGTATAGTTTTCATTTCTGTATTTCATCTTAGCAGTAAATGTCAAAATGTATCACATGCATTTGTGACTGGAACTCTTCTCTGAAAGAAGAAAATTCAAGAAAGAATACAACTATAAACAATATAAAGGTAATTTCATGCAACAGTAATTACAGTCCCTTGGGGCCTGATTTGTTATCTGGATAGAAACTTCTGCTGAAGCAAGTCATTAAATGCTTTTGCACATATTTTCTAATTTCTTGAAAATGAACAATAGAGATATACCCTCCCAAATCAGGTAATTTGATAATGAAAAACGGAGACAAAAACATCCCACATAAAATAAAGAACAATCAATGTAATAAAACTCTAACTTTTGTTTCAATACGAATATTTGAATAAAACTATAAACAACTATGTGTTTACATTGTGAGAAATGTGTGACTCCATTGTATTTATGGAAACAGATTATAAACTATGTGAATACTGTCATGATTAGGGGTATTTCCAAGGCCAATACAGTAGGTTATTCTAGAACAGCCAGCCAGAAGACCTTCCAAGCCCCAACCACCCACGAGATCTTATAGTAGTAACACGAAAATATGACTCTTTTGACTATTTATTAATAACCAGTGAGGTTATTAATAAAAGATTAATCAGTAAATCAAAACAAATGGCATTTAAAAAAACTTAGGTGTGTAAAATAAGCCTAGTAGGAAAGATATTTATAGCAAATCTTTTTATATGAATATGCATTTGTATGTTGTGTTGTCATTGTTGTTATGTGCCATCGAGTCGGCCCCAACTCATAGCGACCCCTCCTTGGGTAGTAGATTGCCCCATCTTCCTTCCGAGGAGTTGCCAGTGGGTTTGAACTGCCAGCCTTTTGGTTAGCAGTCAAGTGCCTTAGGCACTATGCTACCAGACTAGGTTCATATATTAAAATATCTTAACATAAACAACTTACATCTACTTATAACATCTGAATAAGGTATTTTTGTATTTTGCCAGACTTTGGCTCTATGACCTGAATCTCTGGAACCTGTTAATTTTCAGCATATTCCACATGCAGAACACTATGTGGCCAGAGGTAGAATAGCCAAAGGGCTAAAGGGCACACTCACCTAGAAGTCTTTACAGTAAAGCACAGCTTTTACTTCCTCACACCTGTTTGGGGGCTGCCCTCCACACTGCTAGAGGGGCCTTTCTAGCACTCATTATCACAAAGAAAGAATGAGAGCTCTTTGAACTCTGATTTTCCTTTGTTTAGCCAGCACAATCTGGATTTAACCTAAATTAGGCTAACTAATTGTTTTGGATAATAAAAATACCAAACTAAACCTGCTGCCATAGAGTCGATTCTGACTCAATGACCCCCATTGGATTTCTGAGGTGGTAAATCGTTATGAGAAGCTGATGGCTCCGCATTCCTTCAACAGAGTGGCTGATGGGTTTGAACCGTCAACGTTCTGGTTAGTAGCTTTAGGGCACTGTGCCACCAGAGCTTCTTCTTAATAATACCAAACCGAAAAAAAACTGCCGTCAAGTGGCATCCGACTCACAGCGATCCCTCCTCAGGTTTCCGAGGCGGTATCTCAATGGAAGTAGATTGCCCAATCCTATACTACCACTGCAAATGGAACTTAAATGGACTAGTTTATTGAACTAACTGATCAGCTTAACTACAATGGCTATTCTACTAGTCCTGTCTAATCAAAACCTCTGCCACACTCCCTGAGAAACCAGGAACTGCACACAGAATAAAGCAGTTGCCTGACCTATTCATTTATGTATGTAAGCATGGCTGAATTATTCTGTCTTCTTCTAGCAGGGCGTGAAAAGAGTGACAGAACCCATGAGGATATGTGAAGAAGTGTGATTATAGTAAGTGCTTATTCTTAGCTTAGAAGGAGATAGTTAAGACTTGCGGCTGTAAGCAATGGGAGAGGACTGCTAAGACCAGGTACATTTTAACCTAAGGATATTAAAGGAGTCATCAAAATATATAGCCAGACAAGACCTTAGAGAACATTAGTTCAACTACTCCATTATAGAGATGAGAAAACTGGGGAGTAACTGCTTACTGGGGAGTTGGGAGAAAACAGAATTATTGAGACAATCAAATTAATGAAATTATGATTCTCAATGACATTTTTTCATTTTCTTCAAAATATCCAAAAAATGAATCATTAACAAAAATTATATTTGGGTTTGTCACAGCATAAGAGGTGGGTGAACAAGAACTATTTTTGATGGTAATACACAAAGATTTTGTTCTCCTTTTAGCTGACAAGATTAAAAGCCATCGTTAATTATCAGTGTATTTCTGGATAGAAAATGAACTTTAAGATCTGAAAAATACACATTTCTATTTCAAATCATTGTTCAAATTAAATAATTTCATTCCCTAGCTTAGAAAATCATGTCTTCCAATGAAATGCTGGGTTGAGCATTTCTTAAAATGTCAACTTTCAGTGAGATTTAGTTCTTCCATGAGGATTAAAAGTATTGTAGAGATAAAATTTCAATTAACAATCAAGTTGTTTAATGAAGCTACTGGTCACACAACTAATTGTTTATCTGAGCTGGCATTCTCACCTTAGATTTGGTGTCATGGCACCTATAAAAAGGAAAATACAGTAAAAATAGCTTACAGGGCACATGCTAATTTGCTTCCTTGAGGACTTGAATGAAACTTTCTCACTTCCTAGCATTCAAAGGTTTACAACTGCTAATGAGCAAAAGAAAAAAAAAATTACCATCCTACTATTTTCGGTTTCTACCTCTCATTTTTGGGAAAACAAAAATTGTATACGAATTAAGTTTCTTCCCGTCACCCTCCCCCTAATTTCCACGACTTAATCACTCTTCTTCGTTGAATCTCCTGATTCTACTTTCCTCGTTTTTTTCCTCAAAATGCAAAAGCCGTCCTTGGGTGCTCTGTGGAATTATTGCAGGTGGTGAAAGAAAAGAATGGAGATGAGCTTGACAGCAGCTGGACAGTTACGGAGGGACTGGAGCCAAAGGAGTAAGAGATGAAGACTAGATGGGGTTTAGGGTCACAGGAGCGGAACCGAAAGGTCGTCAGCGCTAGGGTGGGAAGAGCCAAGGAAAGGATGTAAGTAGGCTGTGCAGATGGGGGTCGTAGGGCGGGAGGAGAGACGAGGTTAGGGGAGGCTGGTGGGAGGGGCTGCAGGCAGGGCAAGCGGGAGCACTAAGGTCAAGCTGGAAGGAACTGGCGGCACTGTAGGGGACGGGAAGTTTGCAGTAGAGGGGAAGATGCTTCCTCCTCCCCGCCCAACTCACCAAAGAGGCTGCTGCTAAACCCGTCCCACACGCAGCCTACGGTGTCCCAGACCCAGCCGTTCCTCAGGCAGGACACGAAGGTAAAGGTGACCCCAAAAAGGGACACGAGCAGGTCGCTGAGGCTGATGTTGACCAGAAAGAGGTGAGTCGGCGTGCGGAGTCTCTGGAACTTGTAATACAAGACCAACACCAGCAGGTTGTTGCCGGCACCCAGCAGCCCAATGGAGCCGACCAGCAGCGCCAAGCGCTCGTAGGTGTCGGAGCTGAAGAGAGGCGTGGGGCTGAGCGTGCCCTCCGGCCCCTCTGCACCCGAGACTCCGCCGCCCTCCCACAAGGCCCGGACGCCGCTGCTGTTCCCCGAGTACATGGCCCGGCGCCGGCGTGCTAGCCAGGAGGAAGCACTTAACGTCCGGCGCGGCTCGCAGCGCGCTCAGCACTGGGTAGGGCTCGAGCTTCCCTGCCAGCTGTGGGCATTGTGCGCCGAGAGGCCGCCGCAGCCGCGCGCCTGAACTGGGAGGCGTCGCCCTAGGCCGCCCCCTCCCCACCGGGTTCACGCACCCCACCGGCTCCCCAATCCCCACCGCCCTTTCCTCTTTGCCTGTCCTCGTTGCCCCGCCCCTCGCACGCGAGTCCCCGCCGGCTCACCCATCCGGCGCGTCCTCGTAGCCCCGCCCCTCCCCGCCGCGCGTTCCCGCGTCCCCGCGTCCCCATCCGGCGCGATCTTGATGCCCTGTCCCTCCATTCGGGCCCACCTTACCCCTCACCCTGGAACCTCAGCGTGCGCCTGTGGGTGTGGACTAGCATAGGGCCGAGCCTAGAGGATAGGGCTGGAGGGCCAAACATCAACCTCAAAGCCTCCTCACACAGTCTCCCCTACCTACCCGGAAAGCGTCGGGTCTATCTGCACGTTCACTACTTAATTATGTATTCATTCATAAATATTTATGACGCCATCCCGTGCTAGGGAGAGGGTTGGATGAGGGACTCACTCTAGGCTTTTCTGCTTATGGAGCTGGTAATAACTTGCCGACAGACAGCCAACAATATCCACCTCCATCTCTGTACACTTGATGCAAACAGAAGAAAATAAAACTCATTGACAAATTTAAGGGTAAGGCAACAGCCAAACGCTCTACAAATAGGAACACCGAGGAAGAAATAGGCAAATCAATAGAGAGGTGCCTTCTAGACTTTCTTGAGAGTTGGAGAAGGTGCTCAAGAGCCTCTAAAAGAATACACGTTGCAGTGGTGAGGGGTAGGAAGGCAGCCACCCTCAGAAAATTTCAGGATAAGGGAAGGAAGGAAATGGCATAAAAGTGTGACTCAGAAGATAAGCCCCAAGCTGAGCCCCAAGACCTGCCAATATTGCCCTTCCTATCCCTTTCTAACATGCTAGTTGGCTGTCCTGTCAACTGTAACTAGCTGTGAATGTCCTGGGTGTGCCCCCAGAGCTTCCAACCT